ATTCCCTTAAATTCCGACGCCCAGGAATTATAAAGAAATGTATTCTGAAATTAAGTAATGCATTGTTCAATACCTTGAGGTTCCTCCACTTTAAGGACGTGATTCACAATTTACACCTGCATGTTCATGCACGGCGCACAATTTGATTGTGTTTGTTGATAGCAGATGGGTACTCATGGGTTTTGAATTTTGAACAGCACACAATGAGTGTTTGGGTACCAGGTGCTCATAAAACAGTTTAACAGTAAATAATGCTTACGCAATTGCCACGGCTTGCTGAAAATGAACGTTTACACATCATGCGTAAGCTGCAACCGCGATGGCGCAAAACGAAGCTGCCAGACATGTTTATGTCCATCGAAACACAATGTCATCTCTGTGTATACATTATCTGTATCAGGGCAACACTCATGACTTGCCACGGACCTGCCGTCCACGTGTGAGGTCATGTCGACAAGACAACCATATTCGGTTGGTTCAGAATCGATACCAAACTGCTACATGAACAGTTCCTGGGTTCAGTCCAGTTGGTGACAGAATTGACGCAACAGGTTGAGAGAGCACAACATATCTATATTGGTATAGACGGCATCTTAGGTTCGGAAGACTAGACAGGAACAGTATACTGTTCACAGATGGGTCCAGGTTCCTTCTGGACAGCTCTGGTGGTCGTGCAAGGGTCTACATGCGTCCAGGAGAACGTGTTATCGACGATTGCATTCCTCAACGGCGTCAGTTTGCGGATGGAATGTAATTATTGTATGTGGTGGCATCACAGGGGGAACACAACTGATATTTGTCAATGTCGGATTCAATTAACAACGCTGCTTGGACAACATCGTTCGTGATCATGGTCTTATCTTTGCGCAAATGCAGGGACGTAAAGTCACGCTGCAGCAGGATAATGAGTGAGTGAGTATTGTTTTACGCCGCTTTTAGCCATTATCCAGCAATTTCACGGCGGGGGGACACCAGAAATGGGCTTCACACATTGTTCCCATGTCGGGAATCGAACCCGGCTCTTCGGCGTAACGAGCGAACGCTTTAACCACTAGTCTACCCGACCGCCCCAGCAGGATAATGCCCACCCACATGTTGTACATGTTCGGTCATACTTTTTTTAGGCAGAATAACAGTTCTGTACTGCCACGGCTGGCTGTTTCTCAAGAGCTTTCTCCAACAGAACATGTCTGGGATGAGATAGACAACACCTACGACAGGACCAGAATCAGCCAGTAACGCTAGCTCTGACAATCATCGGTTGAAATTTGCAACAACATCCCTCAGGCTCTTATCAGCCTTCTTCAATGCATCGCCACTGCCTTGACTGCTTAAACCCAAATGGTGGACACACCCGATAGTGACATTGTTAACTGAGTACCACCCCTCTTTTTAGGTGTGCCGCTCTGTCTCCTGTTACCATGTATGGTTTTTGTCAATGAATTTGTTATGATAAAACATTTATCAGACGAATGGCCAACTATTCGGTTGTTATTTTCAATAACATAACATTTCCACAACTCTATATGAATGACACTTACCCTTTTCAGATAGTATATAATTCAATAAAGGTTTTCAACACAATCTTATTCAAAATATCTCTGGTTCCCACAACCTCATTATATAAATACATATAAATGTGACCGCTATTTCGAACTCGCGCAATAGCCATAAATAGCGCCATCTCGATCTTGAACTCGGTCACAACTTTGACTTTACAAGAAAATTGTGAACAATTCTAAAAATAAAATTCAACTTTGTGTGAACACATCCTACATGTAATACATACACAGAAGTACATTTGCCACAATTATTATTGATCATTTCATTTAATTTGATCATTAGTCATCGCATACACCTCATCGCTCATTAAATCTCCACTATTATGTCAAGTCATGGCGTGCCACTGGCGTAATGAGCGATCATCTGTCCAGGAACATTATATTAGTATTATATATATTTCAAACGTCTGGAGTGAGTGAGTGAGTTGGGTTTAACGCCGCGTTAACATTATTCCAGTCATATCACGACGTGTCAGCTTAATGTGGGAGGAAAGCATGAAGTGATGCAGGTCTCAGACATTTACCACTTCGGTGAAACCCACGAGCACGGGTATGGTGCTGACAAACCTAGAACATAATTGGGGCAAACCGGGATTCGAACCCACAATCATAGGTTCGTGGCGTTTCCAAGGGACGCAGCTCTGCACAGGGAATCGCAACGCCTTAGACGACTGGGCCACCGTGCCCCCTCAAACGTCTGGAACTCTATATAAAGTGTATGACAGACAACCATCCCCCACAAACATTTCATCACGTTTGGATTATATATAAATAATCTCATCATTTCACACCCTATGGAAACAGTTGAGGCATGGTCTTTCTTCCATTAATTTCAAACCTGTATAAAAGTGATCACATATAATTCATTCATTCCGTTATATTTAAGCGCCATAAGGAACACATGGAAAGAATTATTTTTGTGTGCACACATTCGAAACATGTTACATCGCTGCAAATGCCAATATCATTTTCCATATGTGCTATCGCCCATGGGCATAGAATCCAACAATTCCAAACCGTATTCCAAACATGAGGGCACGCATGGAAATGGACTAAATCAGGCAGTGACGTGTTTTTGTCGGTGCACAAAAAGAAGAGCACTGAACAATATAAAACCTCAACATGCGAGTGAAGCCGCGGTCCATACCAGATGAACTAATGTATCGCGAAATGGACTCTAGGGCCACGAAAAACATATCAATACAACCCCGCGGGATGAGTTGGCAAAAATGAACAAATTCTGCGAAAGAAATCCTCTTCGTTCGTTACAACAATATCACTCAAGGACTCAACATTCACCGAAGAATTAAGAGCAATTATTATAAGATAATCCACGTTGCTGATACCGTTGAGTCGAAAATAGCTCTAACTTGGAATAGTTCCTCGTGGCTTTGATGTGATAATTGGAAGAAAACAAAGTCACTCGACTCAGCGAGCCTTGAAATACAGTAATAGTCTTAGAAAAAAGCAGCATGGTGCCTCTCTTCCAACTACAGAGACACGAGAGCATTAGAACAACATTCGAGAAAAGGGGATTACTTTTCCTTGGGGTTATTTTGCGAGATAACAACGGTAAAGGATTGCGGCTTAAAAAAGGTAACTTTAGCTGAATTTAAGTGACCGTTTTTACAGCATGCAAGTGGTGATTGTTTATGGTGTTAGCAATTTGGGTTGTAAAAAGGATGTTTAAGAACAAACTCCTTGTGGCCATGTGTGTTATCTCAAGTCGGTGTCATGTGGTGTAAGTTTCTAATTCAACACAGAAATAACGCGAATCATCAACTATTTTATCGATTTATGATAATACCTACCTTCACCTTTTCCGTTTCTATTTGTAAAATAAAAGTAGAAAGTAAAAAAGTAAGTAGAAAGATCCATTTTCTTGGCATTCAATTACGTCATATTTCAAAGCAACAGCAGAGCGCAACAAATTGAAAAAAGACAACGACATTTATAGACTAGAAACTTTCAAATTTGTCATAATGCCAAGGCTAGTAGTGGAAGATGTTTACTTGTTTTTATCGTGCATTGGCCACGAGGAGGTAATAAGTATTATTTGACACACGTTCTAACAATATCACTGTTAACACTGCGTAACAGGTCAATGATGGAGAACTGCACACATTTAAAAAAACGATCAAAGCGCCATGGCGAGTGTAAGTTCAATAATTAAACATAGACACACAGTTTTTACAAATACACAAGCATTATTGGGACAGGCCAATGCTCATAATAACACGGATCCTGGCAATGATAAGCAACGCAACTCCATGCTGTTTGTGGCAACACGGCCACCTCTGCCCATACGTGTAGTAACTGCCACTGGTCATTCCTGCCAAATAATGCATATCTGAGTTCCACCCTTGAACATATAATCTTCACAGGATTTCGAATCTCCAGAGGGAACAGGTATTAATGACAGAAATGCTTACAAGCAAATACGTGTCTGCACAGACAATTGAAATCTGTTCATGCCAAAGAACAACTGTTTACTTCACTATATTTTCTATTTCAACCAAATGATGACCCAGACTGACCCAACAGAACATGCTTGTGTAATTCAATATGATGACAGATTTTCAAACGCATTGTGTCAGAATTCCCACGAACATTTAAACATTGATTTGCACTGGATCGCCCACACGAAGTGTATTCAAACAATTCCGCAGAAGAATGCCTCACTGCCTTGTGTCTTTCTGTAAAATGTTTCGATTACAACTGTGAGCAACACAGAAGTCAGTCTGAAGCATTAAAGAATAACAATGCTTTTGTTTGTTAAGTCTAGCCGTTTTTGCAAATATTGCCGAATTGCAGACTGCTTAGGGTTTTAAAAACGTTGCCTCCTAGAGTCTTGGTAGTGAATAGTTTTGACACAAATTGTTTGGAAACAAACTTGGTTCATAATAACATTATTGTATTAAATCTATATTACTTATGTGCAAAAGGTTTTCATAGATTTTATGACATATCTGCAGTTGTGTGTTCCGATCATTTGTGACTAACCTGAATCATTGCGTGAGGAATTGGAGACATATTTACATGAGGTTACACTTTCATTTTTAAAATTGTTATTATAAATATTATAAAGGTGAATCTTCACAAAATGTATTATTAAAGATTAAGCAAGCGATCAAGAAATTTTCTATACATATACATGTGCATAAACGTATACATTCACCTATTTAGAATTCTCCCTAACTGAGACATTTGGTCAACTCCAATGAACGTAGTTCACACATACATGTACATGGCAATACATGGATCTATGAATCAATGCATATCCTTTCATCAGTACCACGTCCACTGAGTAAGAAGAGCATCATCCAGTTCATGACTACAGTACGTGTACTGTCCCTATGTTACGATCTAAAATAACCGTTACTTCAACAACCTGAGACAGAAACACTATTACCAAGCAAATATTATGGAAAGACTTACATTACCTGCTCGACAGCCAGTGCTTATAACGCGGCCAATATCCATCAACTGCTGGCTTGAAAATGTCCCGCGCCTCGAGACACTTCGATCAACACAGGAGGGTAAATTTGAACACTCCGTGCAACCCCCTCGAGCACACAGAGACCTGTTACTGACAAACACTCCACGTCCCTACCTCGCCGCAGAGAACTCCACCGTGAAGGCATAGCGTGTCGCTGCTGGAAACACAGCTGTTATTTGTTTTCACCTTTACACGAAGAGCGAGCATTGCATTGGCCACTTAGAACAATCGTATACAATATTCATCTCTTCACCTGTCATTGGCCAATAGTGGAGTTAGTGCGTGGTCATTTATCTGGCATATACATCAGTCCACTAAGTTAGTGGTTACCTGAGAAGATGAGCTGGCGTTGTATTTATTGAAAGGAGAGAGTGACAAGTGATGTCTATAAGGATTACTTTATATACAAACTGGCTGAGCCTAATGCTACAGAAGGTATTGATTGCAAGAGCTACACGCTATCATTAGTTTTTGGTTCTGCATGCTGTAAGAAGTGGTTTGGATTTTTGGAGAATGGATCGTTTTTCTGTCTCTTCAAGATACTGTGTAATTATTAGCGCTTGGGTATATATTTATATACATGTCAAAAGCCAAAGACATATTGATTATTACAGGGGCGCGTGTGTTATCATTATCTCATATGACCATGTAAATCAATCTATCAAGTGATGCTCTACTAGACTGCAATGAAAAAACTATTTTTAGTGCTCAGCTGTGTTAATATGCGTGTTAATAAACACAAAAGTATCATCAAAAAGACAATATATCGATGGTAAAATGTCGTAGTCTCATTATATATTAATACAAGAAAAATGTCAGATGGTATTGTCTCATAAATCATCAGATATGCGCCCGATGGGTGAGTGGGTGAGTTGGGTTTAACGCCGCTTTTAACAGTATTCCAGTCATATCACGGCGTGTCAGCTTAAGGTGGGAGTTAAGCCAGAAGTGATGCAGGTCTCAGACGTTTACCGGTTTTGGTAAAACACGAGTATGGTGCTGACAAACCTAGAAACATAATCGGGGCGAACTGGGATTCGAACCCACAATCATAGGTTTCTGGCGTGCCCAAAGGGACGCAACTCTGCACAGCGAATCGCACGCCTTAGACAAGGCCACCCGTGCCCCCTGAGCTCAATGAGGATTCAGGGTCACTCGTAAGAGCTGATGATATGAGGATCGGATGCTTATACTGTCAACCACTGGTTTGCCAGGCCCGGATCCGGTTATTTAGAGCCATAGTAAAACATGAAAATCACGCTCATTAGCGGGTAGCGACAACAGTGGAGCCTTACGATGCTAATTATGAAAGGACATGACGGGTGCCACTGGTGGAGCAGCAGGGTCCGCTCCCCTTTCCGCGAACTCCTGTTATCATCACTATTCTATAATGAATCGTAAGCGAACTATTTTGATGTAGTCGGACTCTGCTTTCGTATGAATATGGAAATGGTTTCGTTCCTTTTCATGTTTCTACACAATGCCATGAATATTCCAGCTAGTGATATGACGGCGGCCTGTAAATAGTCGTGTCTGAAACAGTATTTTTTTTCAAAACAAGAAGCGAGAAGGACTGAGGCAATTCACGGTAACTTGGTTTGTTTGCAGTCCACCCTCGCATGACAGGAATACTTTTTAATGAAAATTGTGTGAATTACGGGGAAACGACAGGACCATGCTTACCCTTTTCGGTAATCTGTCTTACAGATCCTGATACAAATATATCAAATACAACCCATGCAAGTCTATAATGTTTGGCATGTCTCGATTACTGCAGCATCTGAAGATGAGGAGAGTCTCTGGGCTCCTTTTCATCAAATTTGTATTAAGATAATTTAACAACTGTTTATTTTCCGTACGATATGGTCATTTCAGAGACTAGATGTGAGTCTACCTTTTCGTCAACACCTGGTTTGATCACTGATTTTAAATGGTCCATTCATATATTCTCTTGCCCAGACTATTTATAGTTGGTACTACATCACAAGGTGTCTGGAAATAATTCACTATGTCCTAACACAGACCTCTGCGGGAGGAATACAATGTACAGTAAACTACGGTTATAACGAACTCGAAGGGACCACTAACTTTAGTAGGTTATAACCGTAGTTCGTTATAAGCATATATACAGCATAACAATAGCCAATAGTCGGGACCAAAAAATCAGTTCGTTATATCCGTCAGTTCGTAAAAGCGTGTTCGTTATAAACGTACTGTATTCTACAAATACCCACGAGCAGTTTCACAAGCTGATAACGTGGACAAACAAAATGGAACAACTATTTAGATAAGCATCAGGTAATGAAACAAATTAGTCACACAATACTGTCGCAATTAAACACCTAGAACGATTCCTATCTCAATCTAGCTGAGATGTAAGGTCATCCAGATGGGCATCCAATATAAAATCCAATCTAAAACTTATCACCTTAACCTGCACCGGCAACTCCCACCAACACTGCTTATCACGAGCTCACCACACTGCGTGCACACGTAACGTTTACCCACCTTGAAAAGTTATACAAAAACATCTCGGTGCGTGTTTGTGTATCCGTTTTTCCCCATGTTTCATTTGGCCGCCATTGGCTCTGAAGATGTTCGACATCTGTGTTTACTTATTAGGGCAGAAATATTTTGAGACGAACAACACATGTACTGAATCTATCAGATAATAATGAAGGTTTGATGCGCGACCTTATGAATAGTGCAGTGTCGAGTTGCATTTGAGTCATATGGAGACACTGAGCCTTCTAACGTGAAACAGGAAGTGAGGTGAGAAGATTGGAGGTGGACCGGTGCGGCGCAGCGGGGTTCTGCGCTGAGTAATTCCAGGTGTATCAGTTGTGCATGGTAATTAAGAGTTATGCAAAGCGTCTGTGTTTTTCAATAACACAAAGACTGCAATTTAAGCTTTGTATCTCGACAAAAGCTTATCGCCTGTGTGTGGTTAAACTTAAAAATGACATGCTGTTTCCAGGGTCATCGTAAATTTTCTGAAATAAATTAAGGGGCATAAGGAAGTATACCGAGTTTTTTGTTTTATGTAATGAAAATTGGAAGAACTTTTGTGAAATTTGATTATGTCTATTGAATCATCACTCCTCCCTACAACTAACTGTAAAAGTAATCAGTAATAAGTTTGTATAGAAATAACTTTGTTCTATGAAGATAATAATTTAAGATAATAATGAATAATAATTTTGCAAACACATGACCCCTACCATCTTTGAAATGTAGATTTGTGCCGAAAAAAAGGAAATAATAGTTTCATATATGAAACACTGTAGAATTATTCTAGGCGCCTGTACAGTTCACTGTGTGGAAAAAAATGTCGGTACCATTTGATAAAATTAACTGAGAGGTATAGTTTCTTTTTTTCCCTCAGTTGAATGATTTCTATATCTTTATAGCGTGCTAACAAACACGACGCTAACCTTTTTATGCAACCAAATTTCCACAAATGTGTTACACGCTTCAAAGAATCCTTCTACGTACGTGTCCGAGTTGGTTCACTGACAAGACATCCATACACATATGATGTATTTGGTACTAACCGCAGTGGCCTTTATCTCATGTTGATGCGATAAGATTGTCTTCATTACTGTCATGAAAAGGACCCTCTAATACAACATCAACTAGCTATAGACATACATCATGCGTTTTTGCTAAATTAATTGTTACCTTGACTTTGTACATGTATCTTATAAAATGTTCTGTATCTAAGTTAAAAATGGATCTGTGGTGCCTTTCTTTCAATAAAAAATTGAAATTGAACTGAGACGGATATTTTGGCATCTATTCTGATAAACATGTGTTATATAACGTATACACAAGTACACTAACTGATCTTGCAGAGAGGAGTGTAATTAGAGACTTTGGCGGTGTTCGCACTGCGAGGAAAATGTGTAATTCAATAGTCCAACTCATACACTGGGTTGTTGCTATTTAACAAACTTTCACCGGTGTGCCACTTACTCTGTACCGATAAAACAGTGTAAGGTGCTGAGTGAGTGAGTGAGTATGGTTTTGCGCCGCTTTTAGCAATATTCCAGCAATATCACGGCGGGGGACACCAGAAATGGGCTTCACACATTGTACCCATGTCGGGAATCGAACCCGGGTCTTCGGCGTGACGAGCGAACGCTTTAACCACTAGGCTACCCGACCGCCCCGTAAGGTGCTGAGCAACTCTCTGTCCAGAAACATGTTCCTTGGATGCCAGGATCCCCTAGTCGCTGGTTTGAATCCCATATTCGCTGCAGTTATTATCTTTAGTCTATCAGGACCACAACCATCCTTGTGGGGTTCATGTCGGTGGTGCTTGTCTTCGACGGCCGTCACTTTTCCAGTACCCCTCAAAGCGGCGTTGAAATCATTCAGTTAACACTAGTGAGTATGGTATAACGCCGCTTTTATCATTACCCAGGGGGGGCGGTCGGGTAGCCTAGTGGTTAAAGCGTTCGCTCGTCGCGCCGAAGACCCGGGTTTGATTCCCGACATAGGTACTATGTGTGAAGCCCATTTCTGGTGTCCCCCGCCGTGATATTGCTGGAATATTGCTAAAAGCGGCGTAAAACCATACTCACTAACTATCATTACCACGACAGGGGACACCAGAAATGGGCTTCACACATCGTACCCATGTAGGGAATCGAACCTGGGCCTTCGGCGCGACGAGCGAACGCATTAACCACTAGGCTACACTACCGCCACACTAAAAGTCAATTAAGGTGTCACGAAATAGGGTTTTATCAATGCCCTGATAATGACAGTCCAAAATATTCAGACTGGCGACTTCCGAAGACAATCAGAAAAGTACAACTTTCCTGGCAAACACCGTACATATGCTTACTGAAAAAGTGATTAAGCGAGGACCAACAGGTCATTAAGGGGTACATGGTCTCGGTGGGACGAAAATAACTACCAGACACGCGTATGAATATCATCTGTGTTTACATTCTCCGTCACAGATCCTCATCCGCGCGAAATAGATCCCTAATCTACTCCACATACACGTTCTGCTAATTGAAGGAAAGCGTTCTGTTTGTTCTACGGGAATGAACAGTCCATATGGCGTCCACGGCTTTAGCATATGGTCTTTATCGGTTTGCTATGCCCCAAGTGAACCAGGCTATGCGATGTTTGGGGAATATGAAGTTGTTTGGAATTGAAATGAGGAACGTTGCTTTCGATAATTCTGTTTTGTTTCGTAAAGATAATATTTGCCCTCACCAGAAATGAAACACGATGCCTCATATTTCAAACAACTTTTGAAGACTATGCTATCCTCACCATCTGATTGTGAAGTTAACAGAAAGCGTCGATTTGTATAAATCCGTTA